ACAGCCCAGAGAGGAGCGAGGGGATTTGTGATTTCCTGTTCAGAGACCCATGTGAACACGCCTTGTTGTCCCTGGTAACCCCGACGGGTCACAAAAGCATTTGTCCGGCGCGGAGACGAAGCGCTCGAGTGGTTTTACATACATCTCCACATTAAACAGTTTCTCCCTGAATGGCACAGTCCATCTCTCCAATCACAACACGCAAATAAATAGTCAAGATTGTTCCCATCAACTTTGCTGTGTGATGTTCCTGGCTGTCCGCCTCATGTTGAGTAAGTGGCTGCTAATCAGCTGGTGAAGGTGAAGAAGGACACAATCATCCGTCCAAGGTGTGCAAAAGTTCAATAGAAACAAGGGCATGTCCGTATGAGGATAATTTAGCATTAACATTGACTTTGTCCTCCTCTGCTCATCTTTCTGTCACTGAAGTTGTACAGTGAGGATTGGGAGAAAAAAATATGGCAGCAGCAGTTGACAAATGCACCTTTTCTCCATCCTGACCCTTTCATCTGCTCCTAATTCCAACGTCAGTCCAGCCACAAAGCCCTCCTGACTGTGAGGGTTTCGGGTCTTGGCAAGCTACTTGGTCATGGTCAGGGGGGCCCCACTGCTCTGAACAAAAAGTCTGTCTGTTCAGCAAAATCACTTCGAGCAAAATGACTGTGTACCGTCAATGTGAATGAAAACATAGCGGGAAACAAGTAGCAAGACAATAAGCAGGTGTACCCTAATAGTCTGTGAGATATAAATAATACTCCCTTGACATCAGAGTTAAAACTAGGATCAGCTCTGACCTATATGGGAATGCAACTTGACAGATTACATAAATATCTAGCTGGTGAAATACTGCAACAGGTTATCTGAGTTGTCAGCACAGGAGGAAAAAGGGGGCGTCCTGACAAGGTGAAACAATCTGGTTTTCTCAAGTTCAAAGTCTTAAAATGACCAGTAATAAATACTTGAGATGGTGCTAAAGCTGTCATTTTTGAAAACAACTCAGATTATATTGCTCCATAACTCCCGCCTCTCCCCTCAGGCAAATACCGACACTCTCGTGTCCGAGAGAGAAACTGACTACTATAAAATTTGAAGCAAAATTTGACTTAAGCACAGGAAGAAATCCCTTTAAAAGAGAGGATAATGGGAATTCTTCAGCACTGGAGACTTGACAGGTTTAACATGTAGAATATCTTGTAAAGAATCTCAAATTGTCCAGAAGAGCATCAGTGAAGCATTGCACATTTTACACCACGCAGTCCAGGTACGTTTGGCATCAAATGTGCTCTCAAATATCAACACACTGAACAGTTTACTCTTTATTTACAGCAGTCTCTCTTTGCAAACACTTATACCCATCAACATATGTCTAATATTAACATTCATCTCAACAACAGTAACCCTAAACACATACTGGCGCCTTTGGACCGCATCGCACAGAGCCAGGCCTCCATTAAATGTTAGCTGTTTCCAGTGGCAGGCCGTGCATTTTATAGACAACGGGATGTGTGACCTTTTGAACCCGGAACAATAACAACGCCGGCCGGCGTTCGGTGGCGTTCGGCGTATAAATTGCAAGCACGGCTGTTCTCGGCCTCCGTAGTATATTTTGCCGTATGTTCCCTCCAAATGATTTTAAGTGACATTTGCAGCCTTATTGGTACATTAAAAACATTCCAAAATGGTCAAAAGATTCTGAATACTTAAGGCGCAGAAGGTTATCATCAACTGAAACTGAATGCAAAAAAAGTAATAAAACCAATCAGCCAACCTTGAAGAAGCAGCAGCGTTAAGAGGAGGCAGAGATTGATATCAGGCTGCATGTCGAGAGACCTGGAATGATAAACAAGGGCACACACTTAGCAAAAAGAAGCAACAAAATACACCAAAGCGAAAAGAGGAGAGTGTGTGTTAAGAGAGAAAAATGTGAGACAGGAGTGTGTACAGAGGTCATGTGTGGGTTTTCATTCATATACTGTTGCATTTGAACGGTTTCGGCAGGCTTGTAGTGCTGAACGTTTCCAGTATTTCACAAGAAAAAAAGCTAAGATGACAGAAAAGTTGAGTTTTGTGCAAGTGAAACCTTTTTTTCTTTCTTATTCCTTCAATCATCTTGTGACCTGAACAAATGTAATGTTGTTTTTGCATTTATTTTGGATGTTTTTTTTATTCTACGGGAAGACTTGCTATCAAATTGAAAGGAATGTCAAATTGAGGTTGACAACTCTGCAGGTGTTGTGCTGAGGGGAAAGCTCAAATGACAGGGGAGAAGTGAAGTGTGGTCAGTGTAGTAGAAACCAAAGAGGACTGAATGAAGAGATGCTTAATGACTGACACCTAACAACACAGTTATGTGCAATATCTGTTAAGAGTTCTGCACATCACAATTATTTGGTTATTATTCCCCTCTGGGCTGCATTAAAGTGTACTGGATTCCATTTAAAAATGCAAAAGTTCTCACAGGGGCAACAAAAAACACTGTATTAAAACTAAAACAACCATTACAAGCTTCATAAAGACAGGACTCAATGCCAGGCTGCTATAATAAATGCAATTCAATCACACAGGTGTACCTGATTAACTGTTCATTGAGTGAACATCTGAATGAGGATTAACAACCCATCCTGCCTCATTCTGTATGTTCATCGCTGGGTACACATAAGAAGTTGAACGGCTGCAGACAAGGTTTGATTAACTCTGGCTGCTGATAAGCTTGGCCATAATATCCTGTGTGTGTGTGTGTGTGTTGGGGTGGGATAAAGAGGACGGACGTGCCAAAGAAAGCCTCCCTACAGGTACAGCTGTGTGTATTCCTGAGACAGAGATAGAATTGTGTTCAGGCCGAAGCCTCATTTTAAGAGGAGTCTGTGTGTCGGCGATAGAGATCTGCAGAACTGACATGCTGTGGCCGTCTGAGAAGCCGCGGGCTGATAAACATCACCAGAGGCTATTGATGCTCTATTTGTGCACTCGCTGGTACGTCACGAGGACAAGAGATTTCATTACTGCCAGGGGACACACACACATACACACACACACACACACACACACACACGCTTATGGGAGGAAGCAGTCATGCATCCCTACATATAAAACACACACACACACACACACACACACACACAAAATTGGCTCCCTCTTCACAAGCATTCTTCTGGATCCGTCCACCCCCCCCATCTCTCCGTTTTCCTCATCTGCACCTTTCTGCTCTGTGTGGCTGCATGTTCGGTCCTATAGCTGAAATAAAAGTCCTGTTTTAAAGTCTTGCTTTAGGGACTCAAAATGTGTCTCTGAAAATCAACACAATTAATGCCAAATGAGGGTCATTGTGTGATATAAAAGGGATTTCTGACCTGAGAAAGATAACCTAATAATTTGGGCTATCGGTATTGACAGAGACAAAAATAAAAATGCAAACTGGGACATTCCTTTAAATGTATTCACTATATTGTTTTTAAAGGAAGTCCTAAGCCATGGATGTGCCGTCTGCTTTTAATTGGTTGGCAGGTTGGAAAGTGCCTCCACTCTGTAGTCTGTCATTAGTAAGGAGGGCTTGTTTTTGGACCAACATCATACAAAAATCCCAAGATCTCCCGGCCTGTACTTGGAGGTGTCAAACAATGGTTTCAATTATTTCAGGGTGAGTCACCTGCAATAGACACTTTTAAAAGAACTGAAGAACAAATGTGGAAACTTTCTTCCCCACAATGGGACTTTCTGATTAAAAGCCACAACCAGCTTTAACTGAAAATGTCCTGGTATGCACGGGAACATGTTGCACGGGCAAGCTGGCAACCACACAGTCTTTAGTGGGTAGTTTTATTTCTTAAACTACTAGGACACTGGATTAAGAAAATGTTTTAGATTAAAACACCTCAAATTAAAAGACTTGTGTGCAGACAGACTAAGTCCTGCAAAACCACACACACAGTCATGCTCTTATAGGTAAACCTGAGCTACCACTTATAATGACATCTCTCAAAACGCCTTTTCAATTCAAACATGTTTATTTTCCGTGTTATCTTGCAACATCTGGTCACTTTTAAATGGGTCAAGGCAGGTTTAAGAGGGGGCCAGAGGTTATGACCCCGACATGCAACAGTAGAAGAGGTTTACTCAAGAAGACAAACGCAGTGCACACTTAAGTACTCAGTAGGTCGATAGAGTTGAAGAAAAGTATTTGGCTGCTTTTAGACCCGCTGTTGATGGCTCCAGTTACATTTAAGACTTATTTTTGACCGGCCTGAGGTGAACATCTTCACTGCTAATCTTAAATGTTCACCTGTTGCAGTGCACCATACTGACGGATTTAATCACATTCGTTTCTATTTAGAAATTAATGATTGTACGGTAACCGGTGGATGCACAAAGTAGAAATGCCCATCCATTGCGGACATGCTGCGCTACAGCAGGTATAGTGTAAAATCTACGTTTCTCCAGCTTTTTCCCCTCTATGAGCGACTAGTTTCACTTACCATGCGCTGTTCAGTGTTCAAAAATCCTTAAAATGTGTCCTAACGGACTCCTCGCACCTCTTTAGTTTCCGCACGGCTATGGTCCACTGAGGCGTTCCGCTGTAGACGGCAGAGCAGCGACGCCTCCTCCTCGCCATGCCCCCCTGTGATGTACCTGCACCGGTCTAATCTGTCCTCTCATCGCGCACAGGGAGGGGCCAAGACCTATTCTTAGCGGCTCTTATTGGTACTCTTACAACTGTTTTCTTCATCTCCCATACAACTTTTTCCCCTCCATTTAAATTTACTATAGTATTTACATTGTAAAAAAACAAAACACCAGTATTTTTATGTTACTGCGCATATTTGGCACTTAAAAGTTTCCCTCTGCAATAAAGGTTCATCTTATCATGAGGTAACAGTTTTTTTCACCCCATTCCTTTGCACAAGGCAACATTGCCCAAAGAAATTCAAGAACGACACAAAATAAAATGATTTCATTGTCACAGAACCTTTATGTAAAAACTGAAACACATGTTGAACATAAATCAATCGGGCAGGACATCCCATGTGAACAGGGTGAGGACTGAACAAAGGAACGGATGGCAGCATGCTACAGCACACGTGCAGGAGCCAACTTCTGGAATAAGGTGATAAAACTAAAACTACAAGCTGAATGGCTGCTTCTGGAGGCCACATTCAGAGTTAACTTTTTTTTTTTTTAAAGAAATATGGTCGGAAATAAAAAAACATTTTAACAAGGACAATAATGTTTTGAAATTGGTTAATCTTATTTTTTCTGTCCCACCAATAGGGTGATGAGAGAAAACTGCTGCAGCAGCAACTTTTCCAGGTGGTCAATCTGTGAAAGGTAAAGAACAACACGTTATCCATTTGCACTTTCTTGCCAGATGCTCGTCAAGTATGACACATCAATGTATGTCAAAGATGATCACTAACTCCAAGCTCCACAAACTAAAATCAATGCTCGATAAAACTAAATAACACAAATTCAAAGATGCTTTCCAAAAATGGTGAAAGCAGCTCTGACCTTTGTCGTCAGCTTCAGACAGCAGCAGCCAGACGTCTGAGGATCTGAGATTCAAACAGAAAGCAGAGGAGATTCTACACAATCTTCATCAATTTATGATATAATAGTTGAGAAATAGATAAATAAATAAACATCACACTGTGAAATTGACCAACCATTGATAGTCCCGGCAGAAGTGTCTTTCTCCTGCTGGGGAGTCTGGGGTGCCGGCTTTGGGTTTATGGTAGCTGCTGGGTTTTCAAGCCCCTTTTGGGTTTCACATGTGGACGTGGGCAGGGGGCAGTCAGGCACAGCTGTGGTGATGGCAGCAGATGCGCTGCTGTCAGTTTGGTCAACCTTCTGCGTGGTGGATGTGGAAGGATTACTCTTGACCCGGGCCCGTAGTGCATCCAGGATCATAGCGGTGATGTGTCCTCCGCCCTTCTCAGTGGGCAGAGTGAGTGAGAGCTCGTTTTCAGAGCCATTGAAGGACTGGACAGTGGCGAGGACGCCACCCACCAGCAGGTGTTGAAACATCTGCTGCACTTCCTTTGGAAACTCTGCAGGGAAGTGTTCTTTACCTGGAAACAAAGAGGGGGCAATTACAGGTAACACAGTTGTGGTTAAGTCTTAAATAATATAAGAAGAATTCCTTACCAGTGAGGGTGCACCGGGTGACCTGAAAGGGGAGCTGCAGCAGGTTCACGGGGATGGGCAAGATACGGGAGAATGGCACCTTCTCCGTGTTGCCGTAGTCCGCGTAGATGACGCTCATCTCATTCTCACCGACCTCCAGGACAACCGCACGGTACCATTTATTGTCAGCTGATAATAAAAGTTCAAACAGTGTTTAATGCCATTTATTGGCAGTTTTGTGAGCCACGACAGATGTTTTAATTTGATATGTTGATGGGGAAATCTGTTAACCGTCATGTCACAACCTGCAGAGGGTGTCTGTTAATTTCACTGCCTTGATCAAGGATTTCAATTTTGGAAGAATTGTGAAAGGCCATCATTGTGCAAAAACATTTTTAAGTAGTCAATTTTCCATATTTTGGAATGGCAATCAATTATCCTTCAATCCTTATTGGAAGCCTTGAATCCAGCTTAAGAGAGGACCGATGACTCAACCTACACATATACCCTTAAAAAAAAAAATTTTAAAAAATTTGATGAGCCTTTTCCTGCTACAAATCATAGACCACAGTCAAAACTCCATTAAAACGAACCCTGTTGTTAGCTGAGCTGCGGAATGTATGCCAGGCTTTAGTCTCCTACCTGTCTACTGCGTTTCAAGAAGAACCGCTCCTACGCTCAGCTCAACACACGCTGTGTAATTACATCTGCCAGCAGACACCAAATTACCGGCTTAGGTGTGCGGGGGCAACAACTGCAGGTGGGATGTCAACAACAGTCAGAGAGGGAACATAAAACCTGGACGGGAGAATGATAGTGGGGGGATTCATGGCGGCAGATTGCGAGTGCGTTTCCTCTGAGTGTAATAGCTTAATGATGGATCAGCTGGTCTGTGCTCATGTGGTCTCCTGCCTGTCATCATTTAATGTGTGCGAATGATACTGCCTGTGCGATGGGGTTTTCCCTGCTGACAGTAACTCAAACCACGATGTTGAAAATGAATACACTGTGCAAAACTCAACTGTAATCTTATCACAAGCATTTTCCTTTTTTGGCATAAAAACAAAAAATAAGCGTTTACTAAAATTCTAGATATATCTTTTATGATGTTTCAACATTAATATTGCATACTTTCTTTCTGATTGTGTTTTTCTCAATGTGCTCAAGATTCTAAATTCCATATTTGGAGGATTTATATTTGCTATCTAAAGATATAGTGGAGTTATGGCTACCTGAGCAGAGTCTGATTGTTATCTGAGCGTTCTGTGCTTTTAATGCATGTTCATGCATGTGAGCGTGCCCCACTGGCTAGCTTGCGGACGGTGCTCTGCACTGCTCTCACACAGCGTTCACAGCTGATGGAGCTACAGTTTGGGCAGACACCCTATATCTATCTGGCAACGTGATAGAAAGACCGCAGATTTAAGTTTATCCCTGCACTTATCCTTTCATAATGCACAGAATGTATTTCTGGAATAATAAGTTCCTCACCAGAGAACTGGGCACAGCAGGCCGCCCCAGGAGCTGGTCTGCTCAGGACAGCGGAGGATAAAGAGGCCTGGATGTTGCTGCAGTAGGCAGCCAGCTCCATCATCACCTCCTGAAGCTTCTGCTGGTCCACTGCACGACAACACACAGCAATTACAACAGGAAGGAGTATAACATGTGTACCATTTGAGCATCTACTGAGAAGTGAGTGTTCTGACCCTGGCCGGGACTGAGCACGTAGAAGAGGGAAGGACCGGTGACGGCAGCAATACAAGGCTGAAAGGTTTCGTTGAGAGGCAGCTCCACCGTCTTCCAGTCCGCTGGGAAACACGGGGCTGAAACAAGATTTCAAGAAGAACAATTTCAACTGGACTCCTCAAAACACCAACCCTTGCATCTTTAGGACACATGCTCTCCAGCTGACCATCTGATGGCATTGCAGTCCGCCCCTCAGTTGGTATCTCTTTGGAACTGGCTCCTGTCACCTGGTTGGAGGAACCCGCATGTTTTTGGCTGTGCTCATTTTCCTGTGCTTTCTCTTGGCGTGCATGTCCAGAGCCAGTGGTTGCATGCGTCTCTGTGGGTAGCGCTCCAGGAACTTTGGCTAGTTGCTCAGAAATGAGGGCCGTTGCCACATTCTGCCCTCTGCTCTCCAGCTCCAAACCGTAACCGTCTTCAGTGACAGAAAGGACACGCGCAGAGAGCTGCTCGCCATCCACCAGATTCTGGAACCACAGCAAGGCTTCACGGCTCCACTCGGATCCCAGAGGCTCCACACCTGAGACCAAACACACTCTTTGTAAGAAACTTATTGTTAAAACCTTTTGTCACGCCCCGTTTATCAAACTATCCAAGTAAAAGTCAAAGTCTTTTATTACTTCAATTTGTGCAAAAGTTCAATCTGGTGTTCAGACAGTCACAGTGAAGACAATACTCTCATCACTTGGCTGAATATGCCAAAGAACACATGGCCTTTAATAACATAGGTGATTTATGGTTTCTATCAAGTATTCCCAAATAAAATCCCCAATAAGGGAAAAAAATAGATATTCTCTTGGCTGCTAAATAAAAACTACTTAAATGTCATATTTATTCAATTTAATACTCTCCCTCTTTCTTATTCACACAACAGTTTTTCTCTCTCTGACACACACACACACACACACACACACACACACACACACACACACACA